TCCCAGGGGATCACCCATCCCGGTACTACTCCCACCCGAGCACGCTTAACTACAAAGTTCTTATGGGATCTGCTGCCCTCACGGCTTTAAAACACGTTGTGACAAGGAAGGTATCCACAGCCCTTTATAAGGAAATGTTTCGTTCTCCTTCCAAGCCGAGGGTCACCCATCCCGGTACTACTCCCGCCCGAGCACGCTTAACTGCAGAGTTCTTATGGGATCTGTTGCCCTCACGGCTTTAAAACGCGTTGTGTTAAGGAAGGTATCCACACCCCTTTATAAGGAAATGTTTCGTTCTCCTTCCAAGCCGATGTGGGATCAGAACTTCCCAAGGGGTCACCATTATCAAATAAAAACAGTGCTCCAAACCGTATCCATACAAGTTTAACAAAATAAGAGTATTGGTATTATTCAAATCAGAGTAAATTGCAAAATACGAAAATAAGTGGTTCATGCTTTGCAATCATCCGAGCTCCAATGTTTGAAAATCGCAGTACCTGAAACACAAACTGAACACCGTAAGCACAAAGCTTAGTGAGTTCCCTAACATACCACGTACAAAACAACCATACTGTCTAGCATATCTAGGTGCTCGACCTACCCTACCGAGCATATTAGGGTGCTGGCCTCCCTTTCGGTCTATTTCAACCAGATACCGAGTCTGTTTTATCCCTACCACTTCCAAATAATATCATAAGCAAATAATCACAAAAACCTCAACAAATACTGGCATACCAGATAATTATCACAAAGACAATCATCTTACTATAAACATCAACAAGTGGGCCAACATTGGTGCCTTCGACCCATGGATACAGTGAAGGTAACTCACCTTAAATAAAAGACGAACCCTACAACTACTTCTATTGTGAACTGGCTCCAAACATTGAACCAAAACCCCAATACTAAACTCCATCAATACACATGTCTAAACCCAAGCACTAGGCACACAAATGGCCCAACTCTATTAAGCCTACTAAGGCCCAATTCACCATCCAAAGCCCATTAAGGCAAGCCCAAATAGGAGTCCATTACTAAAAAATCCTTAGTCCATTATGAGCCTGTTGTGATATGATGGAGATGGTTGTATTGTGGTTGTCGGTGGGTTTTGTATAGATGCCTTAACCTGATATCAAAGTACCAGAATGGAAGGTAGATCGTTAGCCGACGTCCGGGAGGGGCTCCGAGACAAAGTTCCAACGATCTAATCAGTGTATGTTCTAAAAGAGAAAGTGTATTCATAAGAAAAAAGACTTTTGTCTCTACTTCGTGAGGAAGAAGGGTCCTTTTATACTTAGTTTGAGAGGCATGTGGGCCCCAACTGATTCTATTGGACATTCCTTCATGGGGTATAACATAGTGGACTCCTACTGGAAGATCCTTCGTCACACCCTTTTTGCATCCTCTCCTCATTGGCTAGAGGAGGATCTTTTAGTTATTAAAGAGATCGTGGCTATCGTCTGACGAGAACGTGGGACGCTTTGAATGGTACCATGCTTGTCGGGGTGTTATTCCTTGGTGAGGAGGTTATAGTGTTGCTTTGCACCATAGTTGTGATGCCTATATATTTTACGCTGGCGAAGGACCAACCTTGGCCTCAGACTTGGTCCAACTGAGTTCAGCTCAGGCCAAGCCTGATACTAGTTTTGACTTCTATTTTGAGGTTTCCTCTGAGGGATAAGTTAACAAGTCCCTTAGGCTTGTAGGCATTTACATTGGCTTGATAGCATCAACGTGCGATCCTATTTCACAACACATGTATGCCTAGGATCATTTCTAACTTTTAACGGGCTCTTGTCAGCACCGTCAAATTACGTCAACCCCAAAAAAGGGGGGCAGTTCATGCTACCAGTTATGTCTTTAAAGTTCCCCCATTCAAAGACTGTTCGTTCTTACTATTTATCTCTACTTCCACTGCTTTGACTTGAGTGTTCTGCGAGTTTTCCTTTTCTATCATTCGCTTGTTCTAGGCAATAGATCGTAATGGTAGAGTCCCTACTGTTGAGGAATTCTAGCTCCTACGAGACCATTTATGTTTCTTACCGGAGCATGGTGTAATGATTCCAGTAAAGGGGGTATCAATCTACGATTTCCCTCAATAGAAGGTGACGGTTCCAATACAAGGCTTATGCTCCAGGCTTGACAATTATTGGGGATTCCTTACTGTCGGATGATGCTAGTGCCTAGGAATGGAGTGTCTATGCTCATTCCCCGGCTACGCTGAGATTTCTTGCGGGCAAATCGGGGATTTAAGTTGATGGTGACCTTCATTATAGTGCGGTCTCCAGGCTTCTGCTCTGATGGTTGCAGCCACCAACTGGGTTTTTTGTGCCAGGGTGATCGAAACATAGTTGAGACCTTTGCACAGTACCATTGTAAGCCTAAAGGAGGAACTCCAGGATGCAAAGGCTGAGCGTCCCATTCTTTCTTAACAAAATTTTGTTGTGGCCTGCGAGAAGGCCATTCTGGAGGACCATGTGCTCACTTTGGAGAACCAATCAGAGTGACTCGAGGATCAAGTAAGCTCTCGAACCTGAGAGAAGAATGTGTTGACGAATAAATTGGCCTGGTGCCAATGTCAACTGGCTCGAGCACATGTTGATGGTGCCATTGCTCGGGGTAATTTGTAATGGGTGCTAGTGAAGGGAATGGTTTGTGGAATCGACAAGGTTATCGAGAGCACCGAGTTTGCCAAAGGGATTCAGGGTGTTCGCGAGGCATGTGAAGCCCTTAGATTTGAAAGGCAAAAGCAACTGAGCATTTTTTTTCCACAGCTTCCGGTAGGTTTGGGGCCTTGGATCCTAAACATGTTGCGAGAAAGGATGAAGAGGTGGATACTGCCCTTGTATCCCTTGCTGAGATGGACTTTGTTGGCCACTTCCATTTAGGGGAGCTGGATTACTATGACTTTTGCCAGTTTTATGCTAGACCAGTTCTGGGAAGTTATTCCTCGGACTCCGAAGGCTAATTCTTATTATCTCTCTTGTCGGTTTTGTAATGGACGTGCCTTCCCATGCACTGTTCGCGAGGAAAAGGGTTGTATATTTTGTAATGCATTTGTCATGGAAGTGCTCTCTTCCTTTTTTTACTTTTGTTTTATACATGTGTTTTTACATTTTGAATTTACCTGTAATAAATTCAAGTTAAGAATGTTCGACGTTTCTATTGTGATTTGTTTTTTGTATACTTTCCCTTCTTCTAGGGCTTACATCATATTGGCTAATGTTCTCGCCAAATGTCGTGTAGTTGCTACTACTGAGTTATGCTTCGTTGATTCATATATTTAGTTGGGTTTAATGTGTTAAGCCGCAAAATGGTAGTCACTGTTGTGGACTGTACTGTATGGTCTAGCTGCCAACACATAGGTCGAGATCGTCACCTCGAGGCCTTATACTGTTGTATTGTCAGGGGAAAGGTTATTAATCTTTTAGAACCCCTTTTTCTTGTGACTTTTAATTGGAATTTGCACATTATCATCTCTGAGATATTATTGGCACATTGTAGGTAAATATTATGACTCTTTTAAGACCTACGGTTGCATTCTTGCAGAGATTTTTCTCGAGTAGCGTAGGCGATTAGCCGTTATCGCTACATGGAAAATATGCATAACCCCTTTACTTTATGCTTTTGCAATTTAAATAGAATTCTGGAAAGCTCTTTCGAAATTCAAATTGTATTAATTCTTTAAAATGAGAGGAATGACATAAATTGACAGACACGTGGTGTCTAAACACCAAGGCGCATGCCCGAATTTTGCGTCAGTGCCAGAAGTATGGTTATCCTGTGCGGATTTAGACCATACTTCTTGTTTGGTGGTGACGTCCTTTCCTCATCTGGTGTCGGTGAGTCCTTGTGGCTCGAGGCTTCCTCTTGCTTCCCCCAGCGGGAGCCCAGTGTAAGGGAGTTACATACGCTTCTCGGGCCCTAGGGTGCTTTCACCCTTCTTTCTTTTTGGCCTGATGAGTGGCACGACCGTGGAAAACGCTTCGCCTTGATTAGGTAAGAGTTCCACCAATGCATTTCTGTTCCCCTATCCTCCTTGCATTATGCAGTGTTACCGAAGGTGCCACTTTGCTTTCCAAAGGCCTTTGTTTGTGCTCGTTTTAGAGAAATTTTGCGTGTTAAAAGGAACAAAATTTTGCTCCTTTTGATGGTGCTTCTTGTGCTTGCCGGCTCTGTTCGGAGGAACTTTCGTTCACGTCTGTCATTGGACAAGTTTTGCTATGGATCCGAAATTGATCTTTCGTCGGGCTTGGCATGGTCGTTGGGTATGGGGCAGGTAGGTGCCTTCGCTTGTGGATGAGCGTTTCTTTGGTGTGAACTTTGCACTCTATATTCTGGCTGAGCAATCCTTGGGTCAATGCTAGTTTCTTTCTGTGGGAGAGATTTTGTGAGTCGACTAAACATATCTTGTAGTCTTTTCCTGGACTTATGAATCGAAACTTGTGCATCAGCGGATCTCCATCAGGGATCTTCTATCCTTTGGTGACTCTCATTTTGACGCGATTGAGTTTCTTGCCTTGCTCCTCGTTGAGCACCACGCTTCCTGGCTAGCTTGGTCGCCATTACTATGTCTGATCCATCATTTAAGATGAATTTAAGGACGTCGTGGAGAGTAGATGGAATCGCTTGCAACTGGAAGAGTACGGCTCGAACTAGGAGAATATTGTACTCAGTCAGACAATTAACAACCAAGAAGTCGAGCACCCATGTTATCTTCTTCGCCCCGTCATGACTTGCCAATGTGAATAGGAGTCTGATCATTTTTGTTCGCCAAATACTATGACCATTGAACCCAACTAACGGGCCCTGGCGCGATGGTAGGAGGTGCTCTTTCCAGTTGATTGGTTGCTGATGGAGGCAATGTTCGTATATCACATTGGCTCCGCTTCCATTGTCTATGTACACTTGTTCAACACAGTGCCGACTAAAGAAACCAGTGATGTGCAATGGATCATTGGGATCCCAATGCTCTGACCTTGGGTCATTCATCGAGAATACTATATTGAGGATGTTCTGATGATATACTCTTGTACCTTCGCATCGGCTTTGGCGGTTGATACATGGGCAAAGCTCGGTGATTGTGAGTATCTCTTCCCTTTTTGATGATCTTTTCCTCCATCTTTCTGGTTTTTGGGGTGGTGTTTATCCTCGTCAAACTTCGGCTTGAGGTCTTTTGCTATATCGACGATGTTGCCGACCAGTTGTTTCTCATCAATCTCCCACTTTAGTATTGTGCATTAGTTAGTATCATGAGTTTTGCTTTTGTGATATTCATAGAACTTGGGTTTATCTTTGCTTTCCTTTGTCGGCACCTTGTTGATTGCATGAACGTCGATGTGACCACTCTTGTGATCATCCTTATTGAATGGTCTATACCTTCTCGACATGTGTCAGGAGTGACGATTGCATCTTTGTTGGTTGCCATCTTGCCTCTCCTGCTGGGTTGAGACTGGGCGAGACACCATTTCCTCCTGCCTGGCGTATGCATTAGTTATGGCTTTAATGTTGGCTTCCTTTCACTCCTCCCCTTCAATTTGCCTTAGAAACTTCTCCACACGGAACTTAAGTTCATCCCTGGTTCTAGGAAAGGTTCCATGTATTTTCTTTGATAGGGGTCCAGTAAGTAAGCCTTGGGCGAATGTGCCTGTTACCAGGAGCTCTTCATGTCCCAGAACATTCAAAGTAGTCAACATGAATCGATCATAATATTCATGGATCTACTCCCCTTCCTTCTGCTTGCATGCCATTATAGAGTTAGCGCCCCTTTACCTTTCCTCATCTGCATGAAATTATTGAGGAAAAGGTATTTCAGCTAATCGAAACTCGAGATACTGCCCGGCCGTAGAGACTTGAACCACTTGCATGCATTTCATATTACGGTGCAAGGAAATTCAGTGCAGGTGAAGCAACGATCCATCTTGAGGGATGTCATCGGCCATTTGTAATTGTCTATGTGGTCATCTAGATTCATAGTACCGTCATACTTTGGTATGTTTGGGATCATCTCCGTATGTGGAATCTCATACTGAAGTAGATCTTGGCTAAAGTTAGAGCTAGCACTTCACATGGTATTATCCTCATACGAGTACGGCATCCCGTTGTAGGCCATATGTTGTTGCATGTGGTAGGGCTCGCATACATCTGGTTATGCAAGGCCGTCGGTGAGATATGTTGTTGATACTGAGGCAGGTTTAGTGTTAGCCCAAAATTTTGGATGTCGTGTTGCCCTATTGAGGGAAGAGTTTATGGACTCGCTCCTATGTATTGTTGCACATATGGATTGAACGGTTGAGTGGCTGCTACGAAGGAATTAACTTCGGATTTAACTGGGAACTGAATGCCAGATTCGGAAGAACTGGATCCCTGACCCGTCAGGATATGCATGCTTGCGGCTTGTGGTTATGTTAGTTCATGGATTAAAGCTGGGTTCTACTACATAAATGGGTTGAAGATCGGCGATTGTTGTACGTAGAGCGACATATGGGGAAAGCCTGCCGTGGTGGTATGTGGGTAGACCATGGAGGAAATTTGTTGTTGTGGTTGGATGGTGTGAGGGATCCAAGTCCTAGTGTTGGAGGTGTATGGGAGAGACTATTGTTGTGAGATAAGGGTCTATGTTGGTTGTGTTGCAACGATTTGTGGAGTTGCAGTTACGATTACAACTTGTAGGATTGGGTTGGTTGCAGGGTGCCATATGTTGGCCGCGGGGGTTTTTGTCATCGTTGTTGTGGAGCTCGGCGGCGTTTGTGAAAATGGTGTGAGGTCTGATGCGTGATCTTCCTGAATGGAAGATTGTCCTCCCTTTAGTGATTGAATCGGACACAACGGGCTTTTCTCCAGTATCCCAGACACTATTGGGATTTCACCTGCCATTGTTGCTCTGTGGATTTGGTTCGTAGGTGTATCGTTCTAGAGATACGCCCAGATGGTGCCAAATGTGTAACAACCCAAACTTTCAAAAGAAATTTTTTATTTTTAAATAGTTAAAAACATTTCCAATAAACCATAAAATCTCAGGTACATTTGTTTTCAAATTCATAACATCAACAATATTATTCCAAACATCAGAGTGTCCCATTAAAACGCTTGAGAGAGAGTGCATATCGTGCCATCAAGAATTTTCCATGACCTTAGGCACAAATGTACCTGAAACAAATCCACATAATGTAAGCTAATGCTTAGTGAGTCCCCCAAAGCATACCCCACACAGTCCACATAATCACGTATACCATATTAACTATAGAAGCTACATAAACCACATAAGCCATGCATACAACATATAAGGATGTCGTGGGCTCATCCCTAGGGTCTTACTCCAGGATGCCATGGGCTCCCTACATGGTATTACACCTAAGTGTCATGGGATCTCCCATGGTTTTTAATAGGAAGCCATGGGCTCTCCACATGGTCTTACATCGGGGTGTCATGGGCTCTCCCATGGTGTTTAATAGGAAAGCCATAGGCTCTCTACATGGTCTTACATCCGGGTGTCATGGGTTCTCCCATGGTCTTTAATAGGAAAGACATGGGCTCTCCACATGGTCTTATATCCAGGTGCAATGGGCTCTCCCATGGTCTACCATACAAGCATACCACATATACAACTAGCATACTTCTTAGCTCATAACCAACTATCATACCACATAATACAACTTCAGCTAGTGTACCGCATATCATAAAATGGGTCGGCCTTGGTGCCTTTGACCCATTAGTATGGTGAGAAGACTCACCTCCCAAGAATGTTGAACTGATAAGATAGAATCAGATAAATCCCAACGCACAATTTTAACTCAACTGCGTATAACCATCATGTGATTAACTTGCCAAAATCCCGCAATATCATAAATACCCTTAAAGTCAAACTTGGTCAACCCTGGTCAAAGTCCAAATCAACAGTCAAGGTCAATACTCTGTGTTGACCCCAACTTGTCGAGTACATCTGGAAACTCGTCGAGTTCCTTTAGAGTCCAGAAAACTGAAATCCCAAGTCAACTCGTTGAGTTCCTTCATGTCCAGAAGACCAAAAACTCTAATCCCTTACCAAAATCACTCAGAATCTTGAAAAATAGGTAAACCCTACCCGACTCGTCGAGTTGGCTAAGCAACTCATTGATTCCCTTCAGTCCTTTTTGTGTTCAGTCCTTTCCAGTGGAATGTAAGGCTCTAAATTACAGACCCAACCCCTTATGTTGTAGTTACCACGTAAAGTTGCAAACTTTACATGCATGCAAGGCCTAAACACTAAAACTAGGGTTCATACAACACTTAGGACATGGAAAAGGGCTTATACTAGGTAAAGGAAGCAACTTTATGTCATGAAAGACCTAGAGGTGTCCAGATCTGGAACCATATCCTCATGACAAGTCCAAATCTGAGTATGACACCATTTTCGCAACAAAAGTGACCATATTATTCCATAAGAGGAGATCTAAGGAAATAGAGATCAAGGTAGCAACTTTTTACCACCAAATGGATGCTAACAATAGTTAGATGCCGGATCCAAAGCCCTCGCCTCACTTTAATCTCTTCAACCTTCAAGTTTCCTTCTAAAAAGCACAAGTTTCACTCTACAAGGCTCACACACACTCAAGAAAGCACCAAAATGCAGCTAGGGTATCTCTCTAGATAAATGGGACGATGAGGGAGGAGACAAATGATCATAAGTTCCTTAAATATGGTACAAATCCCTGAAAACTAGGGTTTCCTTTACAGCGCCTACTCGTCAATTCGGGGCCTTCCGACTCTTCGAGTAGGTTCTAAGTCCCGCGTTCTCATAAATTATCTCTACTCAACGAGTTGGATCTCCCCAAGTCGTCGAGTTCCAGTCTAAAACCCTAAATTACTTAGAAATTAAAAGATACATGGAACGGGAGTTACAAAATGTTGTGATATGTTGGAGACAGTTGTATTGAGGTTGCCGGTGGGTTTTGTGTAGATGCCTTCTCCTGATATCAAAGTACAAAAATAGAAGGTAGATCGTTAGCCGATGTCCGGGAGGGGATCCCGGGACGAAACTCCGACGATCTAGTCAATGTATGTTCTAAAACAGAAAGTGTATTTACAGGAAAAAGGTTTTGTCTCCACTTCGTGAGGAAGAAGGGTCCTTTCAGCTCAGGCCAAACCCGGTACTAGTTTTGACTTCTATTTTTGACGTTTCCTCTGAGGGATACATTAACAGAGCCCAAATTAAAGGATAAGTCCAAGACTAAGCTAGTCAACAATCAAAGAGCCCAAACTTGCACATGAGAGTCTCACGTTGTGAGCACCTTATGCTCACGTCGTGAGGTCGTGACTTTTACCCAAAAACTTCATCGAACACGCTCTCAAGTCATGGGGTCTTATTCCTCACGTCGTGAGGCTATATCTGACAAAACAAAATGAGCATTAAGCTTCTAATCTATTAAACCTTCACATGGGACAGTCTAGAGGGTCATCCTTGACCCCAAGGACAATAAAAATCGAAGTTTTTCAGTCATGTATGTCCAAATGTCACACCCCAAAACTGGAATGGCGGAAACGTTCTGGGGTGGATGACGTCATGTCAAGTATCACAACATATGCAGTATAGTAATCAATGTACAACAACCATTGCATTAATAGTAATAGTTTTACATGGTTTACATTACATACAAACTTCAATGTAATTAATACAAGTAATAATGTAGATGCAGCTTGGTACTAAACGGTCTTCACCAAAAGCGCCTGAGATGCACCTGTCTATTTCTGACCTGAGAATACAAGTTATTTGAAAGCGAGTATTAGCATTTTTACAAATGTTGGTGAGTTCATAAGCATTTAGTGTCATTTTATCTAAATAACTTTATATAAGTAGTAGTTTTAGAGTATAAAGTGAATTAGAGTCCTTTCCAGAAAATCCTATATTTTTTAATTTATAAGCAGTCTTCTACCAAGACTGGACGGAGTTATGTTGTAAAAAGTAATTTTTCCCCTAACGTTATCATTATCAAAATAGGGTATTGATTGAAAAGAAAGTAGGAGAATATCAGGGAAAACAACATATGCCTCAGTAGTGAACACTGCTGACTAAGGCAAAAGAAATCATAGACTCCAGGAGAGTATCGAATGAACGACGCACCTGACTCAGTCTAACGAGAGGAGACACAGACCCCAAATAGTATCAAATGAATGATACGTCTAGCAAGGACTAAAAACAGTGAATACAGACCTCAGACAGTATCAAATGAATGATACGTCTAGCAAGGACTAAAAACAGTGAATACAGACCCAGACAATATCAAATGAATGATAAGTCTAGCAAGGTCTAAAAACAGTGAATACAATGTTAATTTCCATTACCTTAAGGCCATGAATTATAAGGTAACCCCGAGATACTCGCAACCATACTGATAGACACTAGAGAACTTGATGCCCTGCAAGCATCGGAAATATTGTGACATCTGTCACCCCTTTGGCTTGGTGGGCCAAGGACTGTAGCTAGCAGTCTATGTGTGGGGGTGTCAATCCCGTATAGATCTATACACATAATGCCCGCTCTCCCTACAAGAGACTCTGGTTACCAACTAGACAACGGAGAAGGTCGTGTCCTAAAGATGCATCTCGAATAGTGAGATCTAGTGTAAAATATTGGACAAGTGATAGAGACTCACAACTGAACTGACCGATGTAAACCTATATGTCTATGCTTGTATACATAATGTATAACTAATTATCAAACGACCTTCGGACGGATATCCGATCCCACCAGACCACATCTTAACGAAGAAAAGGAAATAGGGCGAACTAGCCTTCCTAAGTCGTTTAAACGTTATTTATACAACTATACAAGCACAGGCATACATTTAACTAAGTATCAGCATTAACAAAGTAGAAGTATTTCATGAAGTAGAAGCGTTTCTCAAAGTGGAGATGTTAATAAGGTGTATGCGTTTACAAAGTAGTAGCGTTAATAAGGTAGGAGTGGTTCGTGAAGTAGTAGCCTTAATAAAGTAGGAGTGATTCGTGAAGAAGTAGCATTAATAAAGTAGGATTGGTTCGTGAAGTAGTAGCATTAATAAAGTAGGAGTGATTCGTGAAGTAATAGCATGATTAAAGTAGAAGTGATTTGTGAAGTAGTAGCATATATAAAGTAGGAGTGATAATAAGTGGAAGCGTATCGTGAAGTAGAAGCGTTAACAAGTAGAAGCGTATCGTGAAGTAGAAGCGTTAACCAAGTAGTAGTATTTAACAAAGTAGGAGCATTAACTAGGTAGAAGTATCAAGAAGAAGTAGTACTAGTATCTAACAAAGTAGGAGTATAAAAACATGGAAGAAAACTTTGATGAAAACTTTGGAAAACCTTTATACTTTAAGCAGATCATTCATAAATAAGTTTTGATTATAACTTAGATAATGTAGAGAAAGTCTTTGTTTAAAATGCTGCTGTAACAGAGTTTGAAATAAAACATACCGCATGAGAGGCAATTTGAGAAAAGCTTTGAACAAATAAAGACGTTTTAGAAAACCATTTACAGTATCATACTTGGTAAAACATTTGACAGTGTAATGAATCCTTATGCATGCGGGTTATCAATCACATGTGATTGATATGATAATTGGCATGTTTTAACTTGTATTCCCCCCCCCCCTAAAAGCATGTAAAAACATTTAAAAGGTTAATTGAGGGGTATGAACTCACCTGTTGTAAGTGGTTCCGACGAAGGTGCCGGTTGGGTGCTCGGTGTCAAGTAAAGACTTGAACACACTTAGTGACCTATTAATATATGATGACATATGTTTACATATAATTAGTAGATATAATACTAATTAAACATGGATACGCATCCTAAAGTGCGGAAAACACTTTGTTAAGTGCTTGGAGTGTCCCGGGTAATATTTAAGGGTGTATATGGCTT